CAACAAGGTAGGGTCGAAACTTGTCAAACGCATACACCACCGCTAGCATATCTTTCTCCGTAGTCGTGTAATTTACTTGAGCTGGATCCAACGTCTTGCTCGCATAATAAATCACTCGAAAGAGTTTATTTCGCTTTTGGCCCAAAGCGACCCCCACAACTACATCACTCGCATCACACATCAACTCGAACGGTTGCTCCCAATCCGGCACAATCAAAATAGGAGCACTAACAAGGGCCTTCTTCAATGTCTCAAAAGCCTGCAAACACTTCTCACTAAAATCAAATGTAACATCTTTTTCTAACAAAACACTAAGAGGTTTAGCAATTTTAGCAAAATCACGAATGAACCTCCTAGAAAATCCCGCATGGCCCAAGAAACTCCTTACCGACTTCACGTTCGTAGGAGGTGGAAGTTTTTCAATGGCTACAATTTTTGCCCGATCTACCTCAAGTCCCGCGGAAGACACACGATGCCCAAGAACTATACCTTCCTTCACCATAAAGTGACATTTCTCCCAATTTAAAACAAGGTTAGTTTCTTCACATCGCTGCAACACTCGAGATAAATTAGCCAAGCAATTATCAAATGAAGTACCAAACAACGAAAAATCATCCATAAACACCTCCATAATATTCTCAATTAAATCATGAAAAATTGCCATCATACATCTTTGAAAGGTAGCAGGAGCATTACATAAACCAAAAGGCATCATACGATAAGCAAAAACACCATAAGGACATGTAAAATCCGTCTTCTCTTGGTCTTCCGGAGCTATCAAAATTTGATTGTATCCGAAATAACCACCAAGAAAACAATAGAAATCATAACCCGCTAACCTATCAAGCATTTGATCCACAAAAAGCAAAGAAAAGTGATCCTTACGAGTAGCGGCATTTAATTTACGATAATCAATACAAACACGCCAACCTGTCAAAATCCTAGTAGCAACAACACCATCATGCTCATCTTTCACAATAGTCATCCCCCCTTTTTTAGCCATAACTTGTGTAGGACTAACCCATTCACTATCAGAAATAGCAAAAATCATTCCCGCATCTAACAATTTAAGAACCTCTTTTCTTACTACTTCTTGCATAATTGGATTTAGCCTACGTTGATTTTGAACACATGTCTTATAATTATCCTCAAGCAAAATTCTATGCATGCAAATAGAGGGACTAATACCTTTTAAATCACTAATCGACCAACCAATCGCCGATTTATGCCCTCTTAGGACTCTCAATAATCTTTCAAGCTCCGAATTAGAAAGGTAAGAAGAAACGATTACCGGAAACGTGTCATTCTCTCCAAGATATGCATGCTTCAAGTGCTCCGGTAAAGGTTTCAACTCTAACTTCGGGACTCCATCTTTCTTTTCTCCTTGACTTGCACTTGGTCCCGGCTCATCACGTCTCAACTCCAAAAATGCGGCCTGCCTCTTCAGGATTTCCCTACAAGAATCCAACACATTAACACATTTAAATAATTTTTCTTGAAAATGATCAAACGAAGAAGAAGAAAATAATGATTTTTGAACACATAGATCAAAAGGGTCTCTAGACGAAGAAGTAATCATGTCATTGTCAAAGGAAGCCTCGACAACTTCAATCACTTTACATTCTTCGATCTCACCATCCTCATTATTATTCTTCATCGCTTGATATATGGAAAATGTGATGATCTCTTCATCAACCCGGAGAGTAAGCTCGCCATTCTTCACATCAATCAACGCTTCTCCGGTTGCAAGAAACGGACGACCCAAAATTAGTGGAACCTCCTTATCTTCCTCCATGTCAAGGACCACAAAATCAGCGGGGAAGATAAACCCCTCGACTTTCACCAATACGTCTTCCACAATCCCCTTCGGATA